CACAAGTGCGAGTGGTCTTGGTTTTCTTTGATTGGGATGTCACAATGTGCTGTTTTCATATTTGCATAGCTATCAGGAAGAATATGTGTTATATAACATCCGTGTCTTGGTCATGGAAAATCTTCCAGCTGCCGACACACCGTATGGATCATCTAGACAATGTCGTACAGTAGGTTTGCCATTCAGTATTTGACTAGCACATAGATTCCAACACAAACCGCAAAAACTGTGCAGCATAGATCCACGTCTCCCCCCTTCTCGGTTCCACTGTCTGGTTATTGTTTCCAGCAATTAGTTAGGGTGAAATATTTTCCACAATACAATTTTCTCCGTTTCGAGGTATCATTTTTGCGATTGAAGGTTGTTCACTCGTTGAAATCACCCATACAAAGAAGTTGCAGAAAACACTGTAGACATACGCATTTTAACCACGAAGTGGAAGACTAGAAAACTCCGCAGTTACCGACAGACTATTGTTTCCGTTCGCTGCGAATCCTCGCTCTGGCAAGCATACTGCCCCACGGTGAGAACACAAAGATCAGTGCTACACCGTTTTTCACCTTTGTCTTTCAGGTGAACGACAGCCGCTTAACGACAAGGACAAAACCGACCCAGGAAACTTGGTCAAAATCTTGATCCTGTGTATCAATCCGTGAATCGGTGGTTTATGTAAATGTGACCTTGAGCTAACCGTGGTTTCTCAAATCCGCGACTGTTGAATGTCGTATTATTTTCTGTAGTATACAGTATCTGTCAATTTGACTGATTTATATGTAAGTATTGGTGATGTACAAGCTTGCTTACGGGGTTTCGGCGTATGAGGTTTGAGTTGATGCCATTACCACAACCTCGGAAACCGTCTGTCGTTAGTTCGTCACATAAATTGGACCTGCACGATAAATACCTCATTTTCGAGTGTATAGTTGTACATAGTCGCTGAGTTGGGCTTCAGGTATCACTGACTTGTGTCAACAACACTCCCATCAAATGCATGTAGAGACCATATAAGGCGCCGGGGATTATATTTAAAAAAGCGTTACACCTTACGCAAAGACCGAGAACGACTGGAAAGAACACTTAAAAACACTGTTGCAGTGCATATAAACCAAACTAAGGTTCTATTCCCCAATAAAATCCTATGAAGCCTTTCATCAACTCCTCAAAGCCCCCAAAAATGAAGAATCGAAAAGTGCGGTAATAGTGATATTCCTTCCATAACTACATTATAGGTGTACGAGGTGGGAACTTATTTGGAATTGAAGAGACGAATTCACATAACGTTGAATGAAGGTACACAATTTTTTATTCATTTCGATACTGCTGAGAGTTTAGGTGGCGTTCATCCAACTATTCATTCAGTACAGAACAGCCGCGTAATTCCGTGTACGAATTTTGTGAACGCACTACCAGAACGGATTCAGAGACTAGAGAATCTCCCCTGGTTTGATAAATCTTAGTAGAATTTCACAGATTCATGTGCTGAGACACGACTGTGGATCGAGGCTTTCGCCCAAGTTTCCCGGTCGGTTTTCTTCTTGCCGCTTAGCGGCTGCCGTTCAGCTGAAAGGTACAAGCGAAAAAAGGATGTGGCACTGTTCTTTAGGTTCTCAGCGCGGGGCGGTAAGCTTGTCAGCTCGAGGACTCGCTTAAAACGGGTCTAGTAGTGCCTGAACTGGGTTCTAGATGGAACGTGGGCAACCGTCGGAGGAAGGTTGTTCTACGCAGCAACTATCCGAAATGAGAAAAAAATTGCGCCCAATAAAAGTGTGCACTCTGAGCTTGAAAATCTCTTTACCATGTCTCCATGGATCAACGGTGAAAAACCCGTTGGCCAAGCCTTGTTCAAACAGGGCATAAATAAGTATTAGATCTCCTCGGAGGCGATGATAGTCCAAGGAAAAGAGATCAAGCACCATGAGACGCGTTCCATAGTTCACGGATTTAAGGCTGGCAACCACTTTCGTAACAGCTCGATGGACACGCTCATTGAAGGTTACGTCCTTTTTGCGTCCTGAGTAGAAAACTTGTTTGGCATATTCAAACGCAGTCCTCTATAGAGTATTTGGAAGTCCATGCGACCAATACGGGAGAAGGTGCGCCGAAGTATCCGTAGAATGCCTTTTGGGCCGATTTTTCATGGTGGACTGAGAACGGCATGTTTGAAGAGAGCCAAATACCTGAGTTTTTCTTGGCATTTATCCCCGTGATGTCTTCTGGTCCATTCCCACAGTGCACGAAATAGGCGTTCGCTGAGTCTCCTTCAAATGACATATGGACGCCCTTTTCGTCGTTCAGAGGAAGGCATCAATCCAACGACCACTGCTTTGCAGTGTCTACATCCATTTGGAGGGCACTGGCATTAGAACTCCGGGATTTCAAGTCGTCCGCAAAAAGAAGGTATGGACTTGCAAGAACATCTGCAAGGTCGTTGACGCATATAGGAAACAGTAGCGGTTTCGGAACGGAACGAATGATGTATTCGATAGGAATGTCTCATTAAAGTATGGAATATCCCATTAAATCCCGTGTGACTCGAGTGTGAATCAGTGGAACGTTTGCGACTCCATCGAGTGCTTTTGAGAAGTCGAAAAATATCATATCCATTATGTGTCCTTCGTCCTAGTTTTGGATTAGGCAGTTCAGAAATACGAGCATGCTCGTCACAGATGAACGGTTTTGGGGAAATCTTTGTTTAACTGGAGGTATGAATTTGTTGGAAATGAGATTCTCTGGGGTGGCTCGCTTCAAAATGCGTTCCATCACCTTGCATGGTACGCTATTGAGGCCAATAGGCCTGTAGCTGCCGGGCGGTAGTTGGTCACCAGTTTTAAATGGTGACTTGACAGTCGCTTCCTTTCAAGCAGAGAAAAGGTGGTCTTCGTGGAGCGACTGACGAAGTACCTGGTAGAGATGTTTTACCAGTGTGAACGACGTTTCCGTTAGGATCCTTGGATGATTTTCGTTTGGCCCCAACGCGCAGAACGGGTTTATCCTGCGCAGGAGTTGACGAATGTCCCTCTACTGGTTCTTACTTGTGTAATCATGATTTTCCTTCATGTTTCTTGAGTGGGCGGTGGCGCACGCCGTGGATTTGTTTTTGTTCTAACAAATATGGCCTATCCTGGACGCAAGTACACGTTGGATAAACCCAGGCTGTGCAAGTTACCAGCGCTGTTTTTTCTGTTTTTTTTTTAGGGCAACGAATTTGTGGAATATTTCCTGTCACTACCTGTAAAAAAATTCTTAAGCTGTAGCACGCTTTCGATGCCTAAATGCCATGTCGCCAGAAAGTTACACGAGGACTGGAATACTGTCTGTTGCCCAACCCCAGACAGTGGAAGCCGTGAGGTAGAGGTCGGGTTCGAACCACGGACCTTAAGGTCAGTATATTCGCGCTCTAACCACTTGAGCCATCTTGCCCCGTGAATACCTGTGCGATGTCGGTGTCCGAGGCCCTCAGTAGATTACTTGATGCGCATTTGTGCGATATTTCCTAATCCTGGAAATGAGAGGCAAAACCCTAGGAAGTTTGTCCTGGTCACCCTCACAATTTTACTAAATAACTAATGGCTGATCCTGTTATTGCCGTATGGGGCTGACGCAGTTATGTGAATCTTTTGCTGCCAATCTGAATCTGTCTCGTGGAATATTCGGACGTGCACTGAACAAGTTGGAAGTTATGCCATCATCAGCTATAAGAATTGCGTAATTGTGGTGTTGTGGTTATGGCTGCAACAGTTACATTCGCAGATAATTTGTTGGAGTAGCGTAGATGGCTATTTAGTGGAGCCGGAAGCTTATATAATTGTTACTTAAATACAGGGCTGTCAGTGAACCTTCCATTGGGGAGATCGGGAAGTGAGATGTGCATTTAAGGCAACAGTTTGGATATAGGCTCTGCAAGTTGGTCGACCGGCATACGGAGCACATGACCAAGCTAGTACAACCTGTGGAGTGTTATAAGTTCATTCATCCCAGCCAAATTATTTCTCCCCAAAACCATTCAATGTAATGATGAAGCTGTTGATCCGGTGTCCCCAGCAGACTCGGGCAATGCTCCAAAGACATCGAAGGTCAAGCACAAAGTTTTTTGTCTCCAGCGTGCAGCCATCAGGTTTCATACACATGTAACAATATGGAGCGCATCGCAGCATTATGAACTCGATCCTTGTCAGATAAGCAGATGTCACGCCTCGGGTGATACATTTTCACAAAGCTGCTCTGGCCCTCCCAACCCGGATGGAGGATGAATCACCGGAACTTATACAGCTTCCCAGGTAGATAAACTTGTATACTACCTCAATGGGCTCATCCGCAAGAATGCGGCCATGGTTCGAGCCCATCTAGTCTTGAAGCAGGTGTGTATACGCCAAAAGACAAGACAGAGTTATTTAGGCTACTTAATGTTTTCTGCATTACAATCGCATCAGATCCAAGAAGAGCTGTCTTCCACCTACTCGACTTCCCTGAGCGAATGCTCTAGGAACATTTCGACCCCACAAGTATTAGAGGCTTGGGGTGAGTTTTCCATGGTCATATCAATGGCAACTTTGAAGAGGAAGGGTGAAAGAGGACAGCCTTGCGTGGTATCAGTTGATGTAGTCAACTCAGGTGAAGGCTTTTGTTGGGTCTTCATGCGTCTGCGGGAGTTGGCGTACAGTGCCTCATGAAGGGTCAAGATTTAGTAGGGGACCTCTGCTCCATTGGCACTGCCATAGCGCCTGATGATCCACAAATCGAAGACCGCGTTCAAGTCATGGAATATCACCATTGTTCGCTGTTAGATTCAGTGTCACTGTTTCAAAATCTGTCAGGGGGTTAAAATGTGATCGATACATCCTCTTTCAGGACGCCGCCCAGTTGAATTTTCACAAATATCTCTCTCTATGTTATGTCAACCTTCTAAGGATAAGACAACAGAGCATTTTAATCCCACAGCTACCAGGCTTGTGCCTCAATGTTTTTCATAGTGTTCAACTACCCTTTTTGAAGGTAGGAACGCCTGTTGATGTGCCCCATTATACGGGCATTTTCTCTTTGCTCCATAGAGTACCATTAATTTTTGTCAGACATGTAACCAAGGGTTCTCCGCCTTCTTTGAAGATATAAACCATCCGGTCCGGTGCATTCTCACATTTCAACACGGATATTTTGTAAGTTATTGTTTCTGATGGGTGATCAGAGTTTATATTCCACTGTTCTACATGCATTGTCTGCAGGGTCTCTATTGCAGGAGGCCAGATAAGCTATTCTTCGAAGTGGTCGGCCTTTTTTTCCAATTTGAACTTTTGAGTGTGAATTATTGAGCCATATTTTTCACCTATCGTTCCAATGACGCTGCTTTTTCATAATTCGATCGTGTTGTGTGGCACAGAGTGATGCTGTTTCTGGCAATAATAATAATAATAATCATCCAGCTGTAACACCGTTTGTGTGCCTAGCTACCATAAAACCCGAGGGAAGCACGAGGGCTGAGATACTGCCAAGCTGCCCAAGCCTAGACAGGGGAAGTCGAGAGGCTGATGTCGGATTCGAACCACGGACCTTTCGATTAGTAAAATCGCGCTCTAATCACTGAGGCATCTGATCGTATTCCTTCTCCATCCCCTGAGCTTCAGTCCTCCACGAAGCTTTCGGTTTTTTCTCAGGTCCGTTTGGTGTGTGAGGTATTCCTTCCCATTGGGGAAGGAATGGGCTCCTTCAGGCGTAGCGATATTCACATAGGCGCCTTACAATCTGTGTCCCTTGACTGCAAAAGTACGTTTGATTTTGTCGGTCGCTCTGTTGTTTGGAAAGTGCTGATACGACAAGTCATTACCCGGAATTTCGTCAGTGCCATATGCACTTTCTATTCACTTATTGGCACGCGAGATTTTTTGAGTAAGCCTTCAAAACTTTCCTCACAAGCCTAACAGGGATGTTCATGGCTTTTGCTTTGGTCGGATTTCATCATTGATGAGACAGTGACGCTGAACCCGGTTTTCAGGCCACTTTGGGTGAGATCTTTGTTGATCTGGAATACGTAGATGGTATTGTTCATACTTTTAAAAATGGGGATGGAGCGCAAGCACAGCCAGAATAGTTATCAGTCATCCAACTCTTTGGACTCACAACACAGTTATGCTGCCAAACGTTTAGACCTTGAATAGACATCCAGGAACTCAGGTAGCAACACTGAAGGCTATAGAACATCATAGGACACTCATGCGTTACATTAGACTTGAAGTAACCTTACGACTCTCCAAAACTGTACTTCCGTTAGCCAATTTGCACCGATTGTGACGTCAAAAGTGTACCGTTTGTCCTCGGATATCGCTTGCTTCAGTATAGAATATGTCGGTGTACTGCTCCGGGGCTTTCATCCGCACTGTACAGAACATATGGAACATCTTCGGCCACTGCTGGCTCAGAACTACATCTGAAATTGTCATGCATCAACGATTTTTCACTAGTTAGATCGGGGAATGGGGACTTTGTTTAAAAACCGCATCCAATACTGCAATCTAAAATGCCTCATACGTGTTGGATTATCGTCTTCCTAGAGGAACGTTGTTTTCCATGCCTTAATCCAAACGAAAGAAGCCGAGGTAGAGAAGTTTCCATGTGGCAAGAGGGAGTGAAATATTCTACGGAAATCCGGGGCTGTAGGTGCTGGTCACCTTTTAGCACGGGTCCCAGAAGACTCTCTGCGTGTGACTGGAGACATTGGGAACGATGTGACTAGCCAATGTCGCGGGTGTTTGTGCTGTAATTTTCTGTTCATGCTGTGTGTGAGTGTTGGTGGTATGCGCACTTTGGGTGCTTGTTGTGGGCCGTCGTCAGGTCATCCTTTGCGTCCTATTTTTGTTTTATTCGTAAGACCTTATTCACTTAACCGAGTGGTTAGGGCGCGAATTTACTGACTGGAAGGTCCGTGGTTCGAACCTGTCTCTCGACTTCCCCTGCCTAGGCTTGGGCAACCTGGCAGTAACCTAGCCCCCACCTTCGGGTGGCATGGCAGTTAGCATGAAAGGATGCTACAGCTGAACAGCTGAAAGATTCACTTAACCTGCTATAGTAGTGAGACACCATTGTCCTTCGCAACGATTACGATGGGAATTAGGCATGTAAGAGAGCGAGGGGCTAAGAGGTTGACTTCTATGTACTTGATGTCAGTTCGGATGTCACCCTTGGATTCGGAGTCCTTAGGTGTCCTTTCCGCGCCGTTAGTTACGGATCAAACACTTCCATCGGGCGCTTTGCCCAGCTGAGTCATATCCACATCCAGAAATATCAAACTTTTTGTCCGCCTTTATATACCCTGGTTGCCACAACCATACCAAGGGCAAAAACCTATCCGTTATTCTGAAATGGTCGATCCTCTTGTTGTGTAATCCGATACATATTAAGACCTATCGGTAAGCACGCTCATTTGGATTGTTTCCATAGTCTCAGTTTGAGCTTTGACTCCTTTTGTACACCGAGTGTGGTGGAACGAATCGTTTTTCTACCAGCGATACAGACCTAAGAGAAATCCTTCTTCCTTCGTACCTTTGTATGTAATCTCACAAAAAATAATGATAATAGTTCAACAATAACACCCTTTCGGTACGTACCTGCGGTGTTATCCGAAGGAAGCACGAGAGCTGGGATACTGCTAGGTTGCACAAGTCTAGACAGGAGCTAAGGTTGAGTGTGAATGGGTCAGTTCGTGTTTTAAGAAAAACATTCAGTCTAGTAAATGATCTCGCTTATTTTGTCATAAGGTCTTCTGCTTTTAGATTTGAGAACTGGTTGACTTCTAAGTCGGATGTATCATACCGACATTTCCTTTCACGGACATATTTCCACAAAGCTGATAGGTGCCCTAATGATGGGGTCGAACCAGACTCTTCCTTACATATGCAAGTTTAACCTACCGCAGTAGTTTTTCCAAGCTTTGGTGTTTGCAATACTCTGGTCGTGCAAACTTGTCTACAATGGATCTGTGACTTTCATGCTGTTTCTTTCTCTTTCAGGCAGATATTAGACAATGAATAGACGAAATCATAAGATTTATGTTGTGACGATACTTACCCTTCTTTTGTTTACGACATCCATGTGGGCTGCGGGCTTTCACTTCATCGTCAGTCAGTACATTTTCTACAGGTCAGTTATTGTGGTCTCCATCGCACTTCACCCGCGATGACAAATTCTTCCTATTCGTTTTTATTCAGAAAGCACGTTTGTATACGGGATTCAGTTGACTAACCTTGACTGCTAACCAAATATATCCATCAGTCATATACATAATGCGGGTTTTATTCGTATGACACCAGACTCATTCATTTTTGACGTTCTTTCGGTAAGTTGGTCTCATACATGCTTAACTTTGGCAAACCCATGCCTGAGGATTACCTGTTTCCTGGAGTCATTGAGTTGATGGGCTTCGCTCATGACAAGAAGGATGAAGTTCCAAATATCAGTGGTTAAAAAGAACAGATAGTTAGATGGATAATTCATAGTTTTGTCGAGCGTTCAGTTGGCGAAATATTGCCATTTCCATCCCCGATGGAGGTACATAGCCCAACCAACTTTAGAAGTCTCACTAGTCAGACTTCACGCAAGGGTTGTTTTCGTGCTTGAAATCTGTTGCGACCGACTAGTGCGTTGATGTGCGTAAAAACACTGTACACTGCACTAGGACACAATAGTGCGTTAATCGAAGCTTGGAGACGTCTATCTGGATCTGGGAGTCGAATGTTAAACTTGGTGTAGCGAGAGGAAATGATTGCTTTTCAGTGGTGCTAATCCGTATATATTCTGGCTACCATATAAGCATACGTTTCCTTGCATCAATGACCTTAGAAGCCTCTCATTTCCGCACACGGTTAGCGTTTCCTCCTAACAGTGGTATGCGTTATCACTTAGGGAGAAGTTTCTTATGATAATTTTTCGGACATTTTCATGGCATTTCTCGACCGTCTGATAGGAATTGTGAAGTAGTCCAATGGGATTCTAATTGTGACTTATTGCCAGGGTAGGATGTTCCATCGGGCTCTCTGCATCTGAAACACAACCCAACCCAATAGGTACTTTTATAAACTAGACATGAAGTTGTTTTTATTCTCCTGCCTAGATAATTAAACTCTTCTCTCTGATCATACCGAAAATCTTATCTAGGTTCCTTATAATAGTTTCCAGGAAGTCTTGACGTCACAAGGATACGGAATTTATTCCGTTTCAATAACTCGTAAATGTGCCATCATCATCATCGGCAGCATAATATCCGTGTTCAACAGTGATGCTTCGCTGCCTTAGGTAGGTGTCAGTGTGCCAGAATCCGTTCACCTCACAGCCATACTTGTAGATAATTCACTCAAAATAAAATACCTTTCTGATATCTAATGCTACTTTTTAGACTTAAATTGTTAACTGTGCTTCTCTTTCTGGCAAACTATCAGCTTCCATGTTCTCTCCTTGTGAAATTCCAGATACTTGGATGATGCCGGTCTACCATATCCGCCTGTGACTACCGTTTCATCGCGAGCGATGGCGTAAGTTCCACTGTCATGTATCGGCGCTGTTGCTGATTTTTTTGGCATTTCCGTGCGCAGGAAACTGAGATGGTTGCATGGAATCGTAAGGAAATTTGGTAGCATTCGCAGAGGTATTCGATTAAGATGGCAGTTACACACGGTGATTGCGTCATGCAACCCTAGCTAAATTTACGGGGTTCAGTGTGACAGAATAGCTTAGATAATATGTTTATTAGGGTGTCGAGTTCATGTAGTTTGGTTCTCGCTAATCTACGTTTGTCTCACATCCCAGTTGAATTTTTCAAGTATAACAGCTATGGGTTAGATCTGTTGATGTCTACACCAGGTTCATATGAAGCTTGATCATCCACATGGCATACAAATCGAACTGAATATTCCGCTGTGTGTGTGTGATAACCCGTCGCATTGATAGTCACTCGCATCCCAGTTGGTATGTTTCACCGTTAACTATTCCGTCGGATAGCAGCTTCTCTTCCTGTTGATCGTGTCAATCTAACCGTTGATGCGATCCCTGTTTCAGTAAATGCTCTCATCTGTTTGGTCTCCTGTAGCGTCTAATAATGGTAGGAAGCCGGCTCATGCACGAAATTCTCTTTTCTCGGCCTTGTGCGTGCATTTGTGTCTTCAGACAGACTGATTACTCAACCGAATTTCCTGCAATGGAATGTACTACACAAATATCAAAATTATGGCTCGCGCAGCTACAACTGGCCTTGATCTGTTTGTGGCTGCTTTCCGAAACTAGTTTTTTTGCTAGTACACTCATCGTCAGATACTAGAACAAATAGGAGAAATATCTTTTTTTGAGATATAAGCGCATGTGACATTCTATCCATCAAACGGAATTAGTCTTATGAAGTGAGGTAATTCTCTTGGTGCTCTGCCTTTCGCAGTTCCCCCCCCCCCTAATCCGGCCGAATATCCGACTCCTCACTATGGCTCGAGTTATTCGCACGTGACACAGGCCACATTCCTGCACACGGCTTTATCGGACCGGTTAAAACAAGTGAGGTAGCTACAAGTCACACCCGTCCTAGCGTGGCGGATCCGCCAGAGTGAAAAGACTTTCATTCCAGCTACGGTGTTCGTTGCTCATTTTCGTACTTTTGCCGTATAAATTTGAGCGATACAGGAGCGTTCTTTGGACACAACCAGTATGAAACGGGATGTGGGGAGAATGCAGAAGATGGGTACATTAACCAACATCAATCATAGGTGATAAATCTAGGACTCACCCAATCGAATCGGATTCCATGGTTGGGAGATGGTTGATTGAGTAAATCTGATGTTTATTTACACCGTTGATAACAAATGCCTTTTTCGCGTTAGTACGCCCAAGGATTTCTAGAACACATCGTTAAAATTCTTCGGGTACTATAACGAGTATCCAAAATTTTTCTGGTTATAAATCTGAAGATGACTCGATGTTGAATTAGGGTGTCATGGGAAATCAAAAATCATTCGAGTTCACTTCCAGAGTTGGAACATCATAAACTAAATTTGAGTCATCTGATCAAGCTCAATTCCGGTGCTTCGTTTGGATGAGACGGGCCATTTCAGTAGGTATGGTGATCACAGTTTAGCCTACACCCTTGCACGTGTCTGAGCCACAACAACCATGCGCAGTGCAGGTCCTTTTGTGACTCGCCACAGAATCCAGTTCGCCGATAGGGAGCCAGACAGCCATGTGACCAGTGCGGCGTTATTTCGGGAAGTTCTGGTTGCTCAGTCACTGAAATCAACCGTGAATGACAAAATCACGTGAATATCTGTCTAGGTCTAGCTAAAAAATAATATGCCGTTCAGAAGTGTAGCATCAAAACAAATACAATGGACAATTCGGTCTTTTCGGGACCCATTTCGAAATTATAAGTGTTAATAGAGCTGTCCGAAAGTCCAGGTGTTGATGAATGATTTCAAATCTTTAAGGCGTCCGAGGGAACTCAGCGAACTTTCATCACTTGGTCAGCCTCGTCGTGAACAAAACGAGTAGTTAAATCCAATCGTTCCATCAGAAGTGTGTAAACCAAGGTCGTAACCACACCACGAGTAAAGTATAGGGCGATGGTGGGAGGCGTCCTCCATACATAGTTGTAGAGCGATATTAGTCCTATTAAGCAGTTGACCTGGATGTACGTAATCGCAAAATCGCGTGTCGTTTACTTGGCCCATTCTCCTGTAAATCTTTTGATATTGCTTCCGGATATCCCGGCGGCTAGGTAACTTATCGGCACATCTAAACGCACTGTTTAAATTACCGGACATGGCACTTTAGTGTGGTGTAAGTTTGGTCAACTGTTTACATTCACCACATCTATGTTTTTCTTGTGATCCTTCTAAGAAACGTTGGTCGCACGAGGGGAGCCGTTCACAGATAGGTAAATTCAACTGAACATTAAATCACTCGTCCGTTTGTCCATGGTCGTTTACTTTCTGGCCGTGGTGATCACCGTGATCCGACCCAAAATGAGATCTTTTAACACCCCTACACTATCATCGTAGAGTCGAATCGCCTATTCGATGAGAGCGTGTCGTTTGTCGAGAGAAAGTGAAGTTGTGTCTTGGCGATTCATTGGCGGGTTGACCCAATTGCCGAGTTTCTCGGAATACCTTAACCTTGTGAGCTTGATTTCCACTCGATGGGCCCATTCGTAAATAGTGAGTCAATGGAAAACCCGATTGAACTTAGTAAGAAGGGCATCGAGGGGTAGTTGCTTTCAGAGATGACAAGAAGAAAGCTGTTCAAAGGTTACTTCTCAGACTCAAGCATACGAAAATAATCATAGTCATCAATAGTCTACTGTGTTGACAGATACGAACTTGAAGAACAGCGCTTCAGTGAAAACATCTAGTAATTCCACCGATCACAGCTTTCTGAAAGCAGTGCCATCCACAGTATTCACACATCTGGAGCCACCGATCTCGATCGGTCCTATCACCTTTGACTCTAGTATCCCTGCCTCCTGCACTATATTCACCTTTTATGAGCGAACAAGGGGTTTTACAGCATGGATATGCATTCACCTGTATGAATAATTCACCTTGTGGCTCATCTTCCGCATCATTTTGATGTCATATGCGATCAGTGACTTGCCTTTCACAGTTGAGTCCTCATATCCGTGGGCATGTTTGACCTATATGTAGGTTTTCATATTTTGTGAAGACCGGATTTCCTACTTACTTGGTTCTTATTTGGTTCTGACGGATTACATGGGAGTGTAATTGTTGGAATCTCGCTATGGTTGATGGAGGCAGCAAGTTGCTCCATCTTATTCCTCATTACTATGCTTCACACAGACACATGTATGTACATTTGAAGGAAAGGCTTCGTGGACTTTCAAGTTGTAATAGCTCAGTGTTCCACCAACGTAAGGTTGGCACAAACAACACGATCTAACTGGATTGCCATGTAGATTTGCCTGTTGTGGAGACTGAGCTTGAGATAGCTCAATGGTCAAGGTGCTAATTTACTATGCGGAAGGTCCGTGATTCGAACATTGGCATCTCGAATGCTCTTGTCAAGCTCCGGGCAGCCTGGCGGTTCCCTAAGCGTCGTGTTTTCTTCGGGTGGTATGGCATCTATGTGCGGAAAGAGTGCTACAGCCGAAGAATCGTTTTTTCATTATTATTATTATTATTATTATTATTATTATTATTATTATTTATGCAGGCGCTATTCCATAAACGCTGCGGCCCAGTAGTATTTTGTTGCCTATTTATGTCATTTTTGGCGTTCTTGAAGAAAAAAAGGTGACTCTGTCCAGCTGGAATTCAGACGAGAGCATGCTACTTTACATATTGTCATCTTATTGTCAGAATACCCCACAAAGACTGCGTCCCGCTGTCCATATTTATACTGTTTTATATTCCTGTTAGATTTTCACTCGCCTCTTATTTACGTCCCGAACTATGTTTTATAGTCAGGATGCTTTTTGCTGTGTGACTTTTTCCATAGAAATGTATCTGCTGAACAAGACCGTAGCAAAGAAGCAGAGGCACAAGCAAAAGCAGCTCGTCTCTTATCGACATCTGTTTGGGTCTCCTTGGCTTTGGGCATATTCCCTTCTGTCATCGTTGGACGCCTATCTGATCAGCGCGGACGTCGATTGGCCCTGGGATTGACGCTACTCGGACAGAGCATGTGTAGCTGTATGTTTGGTGAGTGCCGTGGGTTTTTTACTACTTAAAAATGACATTGAATTTCCTAACGGTTTGCTTCGCATCGTACTTTGGTCGATGCAACTGAGTGTCCACGAATCAATATGATCAATCTGCATGTTCAGGTATTGAGAGTGAACTAACATTGCTGTGTGATTTGCATTTTCGAATCCCTGTCTGTGTGTATGTGTGTTCTATCCATTATCTGGTGCGGCAGCTAGTATGTTGTACATCGTACCAGGCCGGAGGCGTCAGACAAATGACGATACGCACCTGTTCTTTTTCGGTGAGGTTTTTCTTTGCCTTTATCTGCTGTCGTCGAATAGATTACGTTAGGAGATCATCACGTCGGCTGTCCTATGAAATATGTGAAAGCATCGCGCAGGGGATCAGGCATGGTGACAAAAGACTGGTTTCACGTGCTGTCAACTCAGAACCCAATAGAACCGATGACTGTATATCTACAGCGTCCACTTCTCAATCACTTTCACTCAGCACAGGGCTGGATAAAGAGAGCTCTGCTAGACGGTCAATCCCTTGGCATGCAGAGTACATAGTTTAACCGGTGTAAACTGTGAAGCATGCGTAATTAATCTGGAGGGTTTCGAGGATGTTGCAGGGGGCGCTGGACTGGAGACCGACCGGGGTAAGTTGGCGGCCATGAAGACCCTCCTCAGAGGCCGGCGAAGGCGGACCTGGATGCGGCCAGAAGGGGCCCTCGAAGGCTGGACTGGTTCGCCGCGAAGGAAGCTCTTCAGGCGGCCGGGCGAAGCGGACCTGGATGCGGCCAGAAGGGGCCCTCGAAGGCTGGACTGGTTCGCCGCGAAGGAAGCTCTTCAGGCGGTGTCCGACACACCGGCCGACCGCCAGGAGGCTTTGAGGCGATTCAAGATGGCCAGGATGGATGTGCCTCGTGGATGAAGCTTGACAAGGTGTGAAAGTAGTTATGATCGCCACGTTCAAAGCTCTCTGTCCGACTTCTCCGATACGATTAGATAACTGCTGGATATCGTCGAATTCCTCAATCCTGGTTGATGCTATGAAATTCGTACGGTTAGGTAACGATTACGATAGTGTACGCAAATCCCTCGAGTGCAAACTAGTGGAGAGTCTAGGGAAAGGCCGAGATCTTTAGTGGAAAATGAAGGCTCAAAAGATGAAGAAGGTCTTTGTCACAAGAAAGCGTCTCACCCTGTACCACATAACATGGTCGATTTGTGGAAAAAAAGCTGTGTCAGTTGAATGGTGAGTGAAAGGCAGCTCAACAATTCACTTGGGAAATGCCAATTGAAAAGATGGGCCGAACACTTCGAAGATCAGTTTAGCTAGTCGGCAACACAGGCCCTGTAGACAATGCGTGTGGGTGAATGGAATGCCAACCTTCATTGTTCGTCAGAAGATAAAAATAAAGTGCGAAATATCCGTGTTGACGTGTGGAAAGGCACCAGGACCGGATAGTTTGTGTCAAAGAAGGTGGGGAACCCTTGGTTACACGTCTGACAAGACTTGCTGTTTCTATATGGAGCGAAGAGAAATTATCCGCAGAATGAGGCACATCGACAATCATTCCTATCTTCGAAAAGGGTACGCGCACGTTGTGTGGAAACCACCGTGGTACTAGTTTGGTTGGTGTGGCATTGAAGATGCTCGCTGGTCTTATGTTCCGGAGGTCTACTCAACACGCAGAGAGAGAAAAACTCGTGAAAACCACGCTGGCTTACCTATTAAAAAGGGATACATCGGCCACATTTTCTACTTCTGACAGATGCTGGAACAAGGGCATTGCTTCCAGAACCCAACAAGGGTTGTCTTTCTTGAATTGAAAGCTGCCGTTCTCCTTAATGAAATATCTGTTGACATTTATAAGTTCATATATCAAGTATATAGCTACCGCCTTCATTGCTTAACTATCTAATCTTATAACCCCAGATCATCAGCGAACGAAACTATGACGGCGGAGACCGATTTTACAGCTGAATATGATGTTGATGATGATACATAAAATATTTTGTGGGTCTTTTAACATAAGTTTGCCCTGTTTAGAAGGGACAATTTTTATTTTTTTATTCCTTGGTTTGCGGTTAGTGTGCAGTTGCCCTGCTTTCTATTTTAAAGGCCATATCCTGACGTAGTCATTCACCCCGGGAGATGCCATCTTATAAGGCCTAGAAAGAGCGGTCTTTTTTATGTGGAACTTGACTCATTGAGTGCGATTCAAGAGGTCAACCAAGAGTGGTCCCATCTAACCAGTAGTCTCGTCTGAGGCTGGTCTTTTTGTAAGTGGGCAATTATATAATGGCCTCGATTAATTCGTCACAGTTTTTGCAGTCCCATTGAGTAAAAATGAAACTTACCCATTTTCTCCATGAGAAATCGGTAAACCAGAGGTTTTGTCAGTCTATCTGCACTGTTGACTTCAATTTTTACGAGGTATTTTGTCACACTGTAATTAACCTGATAATTTCGCGCTTTTTCTACTTCCCTCATCAGCACTTATAATCTTTCTGCGTTTGCCCGTGTCACTGACAATCTTAGGATCCTGTTTTTCTGGGCTGTTGGGGGGTGGAGCGATCTGTTTCATCATGCAAGTTAATGTATGCTTGACAGATGTGACAAGTACTTCGATCGACACAAAGGTTAATTTATCGCCGGATGAAATAGCTAAAAGAACAAGACAAGAACGACGTCGTTTGGTTATTCTGGGCGCGTTTGACGGTACGATGGCTTTAGGGATGGCTGCAGCTAACGGTTTTATCGGTGAGTTTTTCGTTTTCGTTGTCCTCGCTCTCTTGTACGGTAAGATGTGTTTCGGAAACAGTATCCAGCGCTTTTCCAAAAGCAGGGACAATGATTCTTTTGATTCTTTGTGCTCCATGCTTCTATTGTTATTAAATGCAACAGAGGGAATTTAAGAGAGCCTCGTGAGGGATGCCACTAATTAGTTCCATTCAGGGTAGACGCAGTGGTACAGAGTCAGGTTTTACACGGACTTCAAATGCAAATAGTGTAAGAGGCGAAACGGTCCGACAGGTATCCGGTTGTTTAACCAACGATCCATCACCTCTATTATCTTTCCTATCGGTTTTTCCACAAACCCTGTGTAGATTTTTTTCTTTTCTCCAGGTTCGGTTGTGGAACGTTACGGTTTTATTGAATCGCAGCTGTGCATGTTAGGCGTATTTTGCTTCTCTGTAATTTTCATTTGGATACTTCCCGAGACAGGAAAACCTCTCGTCATTCCACTCTCGAACGACGCTACACTTGTCCCCTCCAATGCACCCGTAAATGGTCGGTCGAACATTTGTCCCACACCTAGCGATTTGCTTGCCAAGTTCAAATCACTGTTGAGAAGTATAACATCGGTGAGTGAATCTGTCTTGCCTCATTCGTTTAGTTATGTGGTTATTACGGTATATGACCGCTGCAGGTAGTTTGTCTGTGTGTGGATCCCAAACGTATGAGACTAGAAGACTGCATGATCTGTGGCACTGAGAAATACCAACAAGTGATGGGTGTTGGCATGTGCCGGGTGCACTCTGGTTCCTTTTTGGTGACTACCCACTGTCCGGGTACATAAAATAGGTACGCATACGTGCACACCGAATTGGACATATTTGGAGTCAAACATTCCTTTGCAAATCAACCTTAGCCCGTGTGCACTATCTCAATTTGCAAACCAGTGCGTTACCCCATGTATGTGCCGTTCAGTTTTCTTGTACTAATTGGAATTGATGGAAACCTATCGTAGATCCCAAAAAGGCGAATATTTTAGTCGATCCTATAGGAGTTTTCGGTTAAGTCTATGAATAGTATCTTACCAATGAAAGGTCCTTCGTAATATTGGAAAGTAACTCAATTTAAGTGCGAGGCATCCTTGGCGCGTTTTACGTCAATGACGTTAGAATTCACGAATCAACGTATAACTTCAACTAAACCATCCTATGTTGAGAGAATGAAAGTTCACTGTTTAGGCGCGGCGAACACTAGCTTTGATGAGTCCAAAGGTTTACTCGAGCACTACTTCACCATATTTTGACCTAGTCTCAGACGACGAACTCAAAAATAGACTTACTTGAAATGTTAGCACTGTTCGCAGATTCCGAGTATTATGCTCAAAAAATGTTAGTGGCCTCAGAATAGTAAAAGGTCACTTTCCATTGAAAATTTGAGGTAGTTGGCTTTTCACATACGATGAAACACATCGACAACCATGGTAATCCTGTAGGGAATAAATAGTGTGAACATAGAACTATCGTAATTTGGATCAGAAAGTAATAAACTCTGTCCACCTGCCAACTTTTTCATTTCATGCTCAATTGGATCATATATGGTTGGATGTAAATGCAACCCCGGTTACGTTTGTTACTCTTATCAAATGTTCATCCTCATTTGCTGAAGCCTGTTTGAAATCTTGCGAGGCTTATCAAGGAAAATACCCTTGCATTTTTTCTGCTAGATCTTGTCCACTCACAATCCGATGTCGATCTTGGCGCTTTTGGTGATATTCTCAATCAACCTTGTGTTGCTACCGGAAGGCAATTACTTATTTCTCTATCTAATGGCCAAACCGTTTAGCTGGTCGCCGGAACAAGTGGGACTTTGCAAGTATGGCTTTTTCGTCCTGGTAGTTGATAGTGTTTACTTTACTTCACTTGCGTCTATGATTATGAAAATAAAATATGCACCATTCAGTGGGATCTGCTTAAGTTGTGTCCACATTTGAAATCTAATTATGGAACAAGTTTATTTCAGCTCACGTTCGGGTGACGCTGACACTGTCTCCTCGTATGGTCACGAAACATTTGCAAGTCTATTCCCAAACATGGTAAACAAGCCAGAATTGATGATCTCCGCAACGCTGAGCTTATTTCTGCCAGAGCTCACATCAGTTATTTCACTACATCAGCTATAAACCATATACTATGGGTGTACTGGTCTCAGCTGCTACAGTTTCCATCAACGAAAAGTGTGGCAGTGTGGGACACACAAGCCTCGTAGGCGATGGGATGTTCAGTTTGTTTGGGAACCAGGCAGCTACGCATTGAAGGGGATAGCTTTGATGTGTGATCGCCGCTGACTGCACAACCATTGGTGAGTTGGGGAACCAGGAGCTACGCATTGAAGGGGATAGCTTTGATGTGTGATCGCCGCTGACTGCACAACCATTGGTGAGTTGCGTCCCGGCGTCCCCATCTAGGGAAGCGGCAGTTGTCGACTCGGCCTAGTTTACTGGTTAGTGTTTCCTTACTCAGTTGTCATGTCCATTCCTCTGTCTTTTCCACTCAGCACAGCGCTGGATGAAAAGAGCTCTGCAAGGCAGACGGGCTCTGGTATGCAGAGCACATATGCAAGCCAGCGTAGCCTTATGAAACGTGAGTAACCCAGTTCCTTCTTCCTAGGACCATCTAACGTACCTCAGTATTACCAATCAGTTATTTCCAACGGACTCGACCAATGCTTCGGAGACACCGATGGTCAAACACTAACATTTTTCATATTTCCTCTGCGCGTAGACGCCACGTTTCTGACCCATAAAGAAGTATTGCTCGCAGTGCCGCAGTATAAATTCTGCCCTTGACGGAGAAAGTGGCGTCACGTCGGCGGCACAGATGTCGGAGGTTGACAAAAGCTATCCAGGCCTTCTCGATTCTGGAAGTAATCTCATCTCCCACCAGTCCACTGGAACTCATACAACTTCCCAGATAGACAAATTTATTTACCACGTCGATTGGCTGAGGTTTAGGTTTGATGTCACCCAGCCTCGCAGCAGCACATTACAGTTTGCAGGCGCGAAGTGCATACCAAACTGTGCAGCAGAATTATTTAGGTTACTTGAAATATTTGCATTTTTGAAGGATCTGAACTAAGGATAGCAATATCATCCGTGCACTCAGTGTCTGTGATTAAAAATCCTCGAAGCATTTCGATCCCCGAAGTTTCAGAGGCAGGTAGAGAAATTTCAAGCAGCACATCAATGCCAGAATTAAAGAGGAAAGGTGAGAGAGGGCAGCCTTCTCCAACACCTCTGGCCGTTGTGAACTCAGACTAAAGCTCCCGTATACTCGTACGCGCCCACAGGAGTCCACATACAAAGCCCCTATAAGGGATATAAATTTGGAACACCCTTGATCGCTAAACACCACCAAATTTTCCGACGACCAACGGACTCAAAAGCAGCTTTCATATCCAGAAAAGCGACCAACATGGGATGTTTGAATGTGTGGCGCTGTCCATGATCTTGCCCCAAGATAATGAAATGGTCGATGCATCCTTGACCAGAGCGAAACTCAGCTTGATTCTCACGATTCTCTCGCGATAGTCGATCAACCCTGCGCAAACTTATGCCAGATAGCACCTTAGATGCGGCGGCTTCCATACTGATGCCGCGATGGTTTTCGTCTGAAGTTCTTTCCCTTTTTTTAAGACTGGGGTGACTGTTTAGCAAACCCGTTCCACTATTATTCTGTTTTTGCCCCCAATCATCCGCAGTAAGGTCGTCAACCTGTTCGCCAGGACCTCGCCATCTTCTTTGTAGTGTGCGAGTTGCAAACCATCCATGCCAGGTGCGTTGTCACGTTGAAGAAGTGATATGTCACGCTGGATTTCTGTTGCTCACAGTGACCTGGTACCGAAGTTCCACTCAGGCAATCTGGGTTGTTTCGGTTGTAATATAGGCGGCCAGCTGAACTGTCCTTTGAAGTGTTCAGTCTATCGCTGAAGACCATTATTTTGGTGGTAAATTTCCGTTCCGTCTTTTTTCGCTGATACTCGTCTTCTTGTTGTCAGTTGATTAAAGAAGCTAAAATAGGGCGTGGCTGTTGGCCGCAGCCTGCTCCCTGTGTCTTAACAATCTACAAGTGTTCTGAAGTTCTTGGAGCTCTTGATTGTTCGGTCTTCGGTGAAAATGCCAGTTGCTAGTATGGCTTTTATGACACAATGAGATTTTCGTTTATCTCGACGATATCCAGTTTTCGTTCGGATGTCTTGAACTGACATTTTTGAAAGCATAACTTTTCAAACTCGATTTCATTCAACCCCCAAGCACTGTTCGTCATTCTAATTGATATGCGATTCCAGTAGCTTTCCAGCCAGGTTAGCTTGATACTCTTCAGTTTCTGGAATTTATCTAATATGGTGAATGGAATTACTGTACTTCGGTACGTGTGATGTTGACGGAAGGCGAAATGATAACCGAGGCCGCACAATCGTATAATCGGAGTCGAGTCGCACACCCTAGAAATAGTGGAAATCTTTAATTTGCGGCTCTGCATCGGTACTGCTACATGGTCCAAATGAGTCCGTGACTGTTGCAGTTGGTGGTCTCTAGGTAAACCGAGATGAATGTTTTCTTTGAAAGTTTGTACATGCAAGGAACAGACGCTGGTCAACACACTGAAACAGTCGTTTTCCTTTTTCTGTACACTTAGCGTCGACTCCGAATATGCCACCTAATTATGTTTATTCTTGGTTTAGTTGTTCAACTGGCGCGTCCGTATAATCCGTCGCAGAACTATTTCCGTTGTTTTCAATCGATTGTTCTTGCTGACCAGTGGAGTCGCGAGAGATCTGGAGAAGAATTGCACTCTGTCAGGGCGCATGCTGGTCCGACTAATGAACTCCGCGTACCGGATCAGTTTGTGTTGATCTTCAATGAGCCACACAACCGCACAATACGGAGATGAGTTTATTGGAATGTAGTCCAATGAAGCACTTTCAGCCTTCGGCCCAAATGCGAATTTCGCAACACAGATAACAGGAGCAATTGCATCAGTGTCACCATATACCCGAAGACTGAGAAGTGTACGGATTGAGGTGCGCGATAGAAGTGGGGTAGTTTATGTGTTTCGGAGAAAACATACATCAACAAAGAGAAGGTGAGGTTTCAATGAGAGATGTCTGTTGCCCATTTGACATTTGAAGGCTGCAATGTGGATCAGATCGTTTGCGGCAAACAATTGATTATTTTGATTTACTTTTCTGGGTGATGGTTGAGACATGGAACGGTTGCTAGGGTGCTTGCGGATGAGTTGATCGCATTGCATCATTCGATGGATGGGGATGGCCGGTGAGCGAAGAGCTGCAAGGGGGTTTGGTTGAGGTGCCCCACTTCGATCTTTTGACTCAATATGTCTGCTCACATGAATGGTTAACGAGAGACAGAGGAACTGATAGTCCGGAGCCAAATGCGTTAAATGTGAGGCAACAGGGATTCATATAGGAACAAGAGAACGACCCAAACTATCATCACAAAGTGCGGACACCATAATGTACGTAGATACAGGTTTGTACAGTGTACGGAGAGCTCTCCAAAAGCTTCCGCACACAAAGCGGTGTCCGTCAGGGATGCCCACTCTCTCCATTCCTTTTTAACTTTGTGATCGATGAAATAATGAGACGAAAGCTGGAGGGTCTCCAAAACCCTGGTGTTCAAATAGCCAGTGAAGAAAACCTTGTCGATCTGGAATATGCAGACGACATCGTTCTCATGTTCGAAGAGGAGGAGAAGGCGCAAGTATTCTTGGATGAACTGACCAAAGTCATCCCGTCCTTTGATATGCACTTTGCACCCACAAAGTGTAAGGTCAAGCTTGTGGACGTGCAGTCACTGAACACGACCTTACGATCCAGGGAGAGGTACTGGAAGTTGTGGAGCGTTTTAAGTACCTTGGAAGTTGTATTAGTTCTGATCGTAGTGTGACAGATGAGGTGAATGCACGAATCTGCAAGGATCGGGCCGCGTTTGCTAACTTGAGACACCTATGGCGTCAAAATGGTTTATCCCTGAATCTGAAGGGACGAGTGTATCAAGCTACAGTACGGGCTGTTTTGCTGTATGGCTGTGAGACTTGGCCTATTCGAGCAGCGGAACAGAGACGTCTTCAGGTGTTCGACAATCGTTGTCTCAAAACCATAGCTCGTGTGGGTTGGTGTCAGCGAATCAGTAAGGAGGCAGTTAGAAAGCGTGTTTTCGGTTATGTAACGGGTACTTCCATTGAAGAATGTACCCAGCACCAGAAGCTGCGTTGGTTGGGACATGTGTTACGTATGCCGAACCATCGTTTGCCGAAGAGAGGACTGTTTTCCATGCCCAATTCGGAGTGGCGTAAACAGAGAGGGGCCCACCCCATGACCTGGCAGAGGAGTATAGCTAGCACTAAGTCCCTTCCCCGTCCACCTTTATTCTTTTCTTTACAATAAGGCTTTCAAATAAGTCATGGCTGTACGGCAGTGAAGCATTGGTGTTGAGCACTGATGTCATGCTGTCGTTGATGATGATGATGACAGGTAAACGTCAGTTAAGGTACTCAAATTTGGGGGCTGTCAAAATATGTTAAAAACGGTAGACAGAGTTTTCCATTGCAGACATCCTAAGGAACAGCGTCGGGGATTTTTGTCTGTCAGTGGCGTTTGAAAGTTGCTAAGTGACAAAAAGAGCAAAGGTGGACATCATGTTCGGAAGCTTGAGTTCATGAGATAAGCATGCTTGCCTCGGTGGTGCTGACACTGAGAAACCACATCTTGACAGCGAGGGGGAGTTTCGGAGTCATCGGTTGGAATAGCGGCGACGAGGAAATGTACGGCTTTCTGTGAATGCGGATCAAAAGCAGAGGATTGATAGTTTGAGTGCCAACTCAAATATAGGGTAGTAAGTTCGCGTTGGAGCATTCAATAGAGCTGGAGAGGAGTAAAATCTTGCGATGAGACTGACTTTGCCGGTCGTTTCGGATTATGGTCAGTTGAATGTGGGAGGTCCTTTTGATACTTATGAGCAACGAGGCGCCAAGGGTCGAGAATACAGTGCTTCGGTGCCTACGAGTATTTCTACAGTTGTTTGGAATAACCCACTATTGATATTTCAGTCATTCAAAGCGTTCACATTCGTCTCTTTCGGTTGTCAAATCTAATTTATTTGGTGTTAGCACAGAAGGAGGTTTGGAAATCGGGGAAAAAATCGTTCAGCTGTAGCACCCTTTCGGTGCCTAACTGCAACGCCTCCAGAAGGATGAACGAGAGCTGGGATACTGCCTGGTTGCCCAAGTATAGATAGTGAAGTCGAGAGGCAGAGCTCGGGTTCGAACCATGGACCTTCCGGTTAGTAAATTCGCTCATTTACCACTGAGCCATCTCGACCCCTGGAATTTGATGGAAGTCTACAGTTATGTGCTATGCCAAGTAAAGGGTTTTTCAGTATCCAATACTGCTGTCACCGATAGCCTCTTCTTGGAGCTTTGGAAATCAAAAAATCGTTCAGCTGTAGCACCCTTTCGGTGCCTAACTGCAACGCCTCCAGAAGGATGAACGAGAGCTGGGATACTGCCTGGTTGCCCAAGTATAGATAGTGAAGTCGAGAGGCAGAGCTCGGGTTCGAACCATGGACCTTCCGGTTAGTAAATTCGCTCATTTACCACTGAGCCATCTCGACCCCTGGAATTTGATGGAAGTCTACAGTTATGTGCTATGCCAAGTAAAGGGTTTTTCAGTATCCAATACTGCTGTCACCGATAGCCTCTTCTTGGAGCATGCATTCTGATCCGCGGGATATTTCATCCAGTTAATCTCGTGATTCCACAACAATAGTGGTATGAACTCTGGTAACCAGACAATGTCTGTCTGTTTGAGGTTTTCTGTGTGAACTGGCTCGGTTTCAACTGCTCTTACCTTGCTTCTGGGCAGAATGAAATCCAACAACCATTGGAGTGTAGTGTAACTAACTCCATTCACATTATCTCAACCCAGATAGGCAACTCCAATGCATACTGCTTCGTGGCGCTTCACCCTCCGATGCATAGTAATAATGTACCCAATTTATTTCATTTGTTATTGTTCCGTTTTGATAAGGTAATAAAGCAGAAGTGAATAGTTGAAATGCAACCACCAGAGTCAGGAGGACCGCTGTTCCTGCAATCAGCCCAACTCTGTATAGGAGCAATTGAAATTGAGTGGAATCGGACCGCGTAGTTTTAAATCAGGATGAAAGTGATCTCTTCTGTCAGATGCGGATTTCATCTGAGGTAGACCCAGGCTCGGCATCCGAGACCTGTTGTACAACTGTCTCATCCATGTGTGGTATCATCAGCCGTTCACCTCTTACCAATCCCGACGGAGTTCAAAAGCTGGATCCTTATGGGTGGAAGTTTGAAGCCTTCTGTGCGACTATAGACGATTGATCAGCATTTGGACTAACTTATCAGTGTCATTCACCCTTCGGTGAGGCGGTTCATGTCACGTGAATTGGTATTGACTACCTTATCTATATGACGTGTGGAATGTCAGTCATATCCGAATAGAACAAGATGTCAGATGTGTATTCACTTTTTCCGCTTTCGTATCCTTCCTGGACCACTCTTGTCTTGGTTCCTGACTACTGTTTACCTTTCACTGGTTTACGTAGTGTGACAAGGTAGTCAGGACCTATGTTGACGTTAAATCCCTGGATAGTACATGAAAGTATACGACTCCCTACCCCATGTGATAGGTTTCAGACTGACCATGCTTCTGCTCATCGTAAACCTGCCTCGTCAAAAAAGGGGTGATGAAGATTGCTCGAAAGAAACTCCTAAGGAGCTTTACGTTGCTAATATCGGAGCCGAACTATTTTTACATGGTCTTTGCTGGCCAGTTTCTTCCAACAGGAGCCTTGATTGCAAGATTTGGGGGTATTTTATCGGGCTTTCGGCGGTTCGAAATTTTTGGCGGACTTTTTGTCTTGGATTCTTTATGTATCTGCCCATAACGCTTTAGGAGTCACAATAAACCGCTTAAAAACCAACATTTTTGCTACTACACAGGCCTAGTCATCATAAATAAAGTGGATTAGTAAGCTCAAAATCGCAGGGTTAAGTTGACACTCAGTATCTCCTTGGTTCAATTTAGAAGTTGTTAGTTCTGATTATAGTGAGACAGATTAGGTCAATGCACGAATCTGCAAGGTCCGGGTCGCGTTTGTTAATTTGAGACACCTATGGAATCAGAGTGGTGTGTCCCTGAATCTCAAGGAACGTGTGTATCAAGCTGTAGTGCGGGCTGTTTTGTTGTATGGGTGTAAGACTTAGCCTGCCTGAGCAGCGGAACTGAGACGTCTTCAGGTGTTCGACAATCATTGTCTCAGAACCATAACTCGTGTGGATTGGTGTCGGCGAATTCGTAATGAGGCAATTAGGAAGTGAGTTTTCGGTTGTGTAACGGGTACCTTCATTGAAGAATGTATCCGGCACCAGAAGCTGCTTTTGTTAGGACATGTGCTGCGTATGCCTAGCCATCGTTTGCCGAAGAGAGTGCTGTTTTCCATGCCCAACTCAGAGTGGTGGAAGCGATGAGGTGGCCAACCCTTGACCTGGCAGAGGGGTATGAAGAACATTATGAAATGTTTGGGTGGTGTCGGTTGTACTCACGTGATCTCCACTGCGTCTGTTTGGAGACAGTGCAAGATATGGCTGCCTAGCGCTGTCAGTGGTGTTCTTGTCAGTTTTTATCCATATTGCTTGAATGAGTGTCTGCAGGTATGTGCATCTCGGAATGATTGTAGTAAACTAGCACTAAGTGTCTCCCCCGTCCACCTTTATTCTTTTCTCCACAATAAAACTTTCAAATGAATCTTGATTGTACGGCAGTGAAACATCGGTGTTGAACACTGATGTCATGCTGATGATGATCTCACTTCTGTCCGAAATTCTACTGATGTAAAGCTGAACTGACCTTAGGAAAGCATCTCGTTCAAGGGATGCGAATTATAAGAGGGCGTTACCTAATTTTTTGGGCTCTGTTCAATTCTTACAGAACTCGCTTACGGATTTCTCTGTTGGAATGAAGGTATCGTTTAGAGTATGAGGCTATGTGATTGAGGTTTGAGCTGCGTGGGCGAGCTCCTCGAGTAGAAAAGTTTTTTTTTCTGACAAAGTGCGTGAATCTCCGTTCTGTCTAGTCAGTCCTTCCAATGGAATCAAGTATTGAGTTAAAACATGTGTTAATCTGTAGCAGTTCGTTAGGTTAACGGATTACAACTCTCCCGCGCACAAATAAAACGTCAATAATGTTAGCAATCACATTCTTCTGTAATGGAAGTTTCTGAACTCGGTTTGCTCTTTCCGACCTTATTTTGAAGATTGTGGACGTTTGAACAAGTGAGTCAAAATCAATAACAATCTATTTCACGTTCAATGGGCAACTAGTACTCCAACTAAGAGATGTGGATTATCAGGCACCTGGCTCTTTACCTCCTTTTTACCACGGAGCTTCAAACAATGTCAATCCAGGGTGCATACGTGCTCCAACCACATTCATAAAAAGGTGCTTCTGTGTTAAGTCAATATTGATCTATTCACTCGGGCAACCATTGCTTTGTCGACCGTGTGAATTGGATTTCATACTCGAGGTGGTCTGGAATTCGCTTTAGTATTATATGGAAAATTTAATTAATGCTTTTTGGTCCCCGTGTAACAAGTGCATCGCGGGGAACGTATATTTTTTTAAAGTTGGCTCTTACTTCGTCGCACCTTGAATTCCCATCCGTCTTTTCCGACCCATGTTGGCCGAGTCATTTTTCCACAAAAGAGATATGGTATCTTGGTTGCAGGTTTGGTATTTTGGTTGATGTCGTAAAACCGTCCCAAAAGAACGTGAAAATCAGTGTACTCGATGGTCTGTTCAGTGAGCTGGGTTATTTGGTTTCAAGCGTTATTTCGTGTAAGCCGCCAACAATCACCACTGTTCCCCTGATGCTCTCCCTGAGGTGATTAAGAAAACAGCATTGTTGGTTTGATGTTTAAAATGTATCACTTCTTTCTAAGAATACCTAAAACAGACTTAAACCTAGGTCACAAAGAATAACCCACCGCACCGACTAACTTGGTGCTAATAACGGAGTGAGTGGTGGATGTGCGTCCATCGGCGAGTTTTAGCAGAGTGATCTAAGACGAACCCACGGATGTAAGAGATCCGTTTGAGAGTGCTTGGTGCTATGCCCCTGGTCCGCTTCACCAGAAAACACTCCCTTTTCTCGTCGTTCGAACACCAATCCTTCACAGACACACCTTACACCGAAACAAAAAACATTCTCGACCTAGCCGCTGTTGCCGAAGCCAAACCAGGCTCGGTACTGATAGCATGACTGCTATGGCACTTCCCCGTTTCTGTTTCTCCGAATTGAGAGCTTTGTTTTCCGACCGACTCAGTCTTCTGCTTAACAAAAACTATAACGT